AGGCGGAGACAGGAGACTCGCTTGAGCCCAGGAGTTGGAGGTTGCTGTGAGCTGTGATGCCATGGCACTCTACCCAGGGGGATAGCTTGAGCCTTTGTCTCAAAAAAAAAAAAAAAAGAAAAAGAAAAACAGTCTCTGGCCCAGCCCAGATGATGAATTCTTTTGACCAGGTCTGGATAGTTTGAGGTTAGGTGGAGACCCCCGCTTGGTTTCTCCTGCTGACCCCTGACCCCACCACTCACAATGTACCAGGACTGATCGGCAGCTGCACCAATTCGAGCTATGAGGACATGGGGCGCTCCGCAGCTGTGGCCAAGCAGGCGCTGGCCCATGGACTCAAGTGCAAGTCTCAGTTCACTATCACTCCAGGCTCTGAGCAGATCCGTGCTACCATTGAGCGAGATGGCTATGTGAGTGCTCGTGTACCCCCATCACTGCCAAACAATGTGTTGTCAGGGTGGGACAAGCCACAGGCTTGTTGGGTCAGGGCTCATGCAAGTCCCAGTGGCCACCATAGGGATCCATCCTGCAAGCTGCTGAACCACCGGTTCCTATCAGCTACTTTCCTGCCCCTAATAGTTCTTGTCTCCCTCTCTTCCTATAGGCACAGATCCTGCGGGATGTGGGCGGCATCGTCCTGGCCAATGCCTGTGGCCCATGCATTGGCCAGTGGGACAGGTGAGAGGCACATCTTTGATGAACAGCCCCCCTGTGCACGGGCACTGAGCCCCAGAAGTTAAGGGAGACGGGACTGGAGTGGAGAGAAGAGACCCAAGCCCAAGGCCTCTGGCTCCAGGGGCTGTTGCATGTTAGAAGATTGTGCCAGGTGTGGCTGGGAAATTGGGCTCAAAAGAGGAAGAGCTCTCAGAGGCACTGAGTGGCCACTTTGACTGGGCCTGGGCTGGCAGGAAGAAACCAACGAACTTGTCCTGATGGATACAGTGCAAGCTCTGAGGGAGCCATTTGAGAAGAGACAGTGGTCCCAGGTCAGGAATCTCAGACTGTGCCTGGGGCACTGACTCTGCCTTCATTTGGTCTCGGGAAAGGCCCAGTGATCCCAAGCTCTCCTCCCACTCTTTACATATGTGTGGTCCTAGAAGGAGGAGGCAGCCTTCTGTCATGAGGTAGATGTGTGCTGCAGGGATGTGGCTTATCTGGCCACATGTCCCTAACCCTGTCCCCTCTGACCTGGCAGAAAGGACATCAAGAAGGGGGAAAAGAACACAATCGTCACCTCCTACAACAGGAACTTCACGGGCCGCAATGATGCAAACCCCGAGACCCACGCCTTTGTCACATCCCCAGAGGTGAGATTTCCCAGCCAAGGGCTATCTTGGGACTATGCCTATGAGCCCTGCTCCTGGCAGGTCAGGGGTCCTCCTAGGAGGAGAGGGACATGGGGCAAAAACACCAACCCCAGGCCCTCCTAGCCCTCAAGCTCCATGTTCCCTTGGCACATCCTGCCTGGGTCTCCCTCCTGTCACACAAGATGTTTGTTTAGTACAGTTTGTGGTTATGACACGGAGTTTAGAACCTCACTTCCTGGGACAAATCCCAGCGCTGCCTCTAGCTGTATGAGTGTACCCAAGTTATCTGCCTTCTTTGTGTCCCAGTAATCCTGGCAGGGTTACCTGAGAAAGTGTGTGGGACACTGGAGGTTTCTGGCCTGAGGGAAGAGTTTAGTATTGTGGACATCAAGTGAGCTGAGGGCCCCAGGCAGCTGGTGGGTATTCAGCCTCAGCCATTACTAGCACATGGCCAGGCTTTCCCGACATGAGTGTTTACCTTAGTGTTCCAGAAATACTTTTGCTTGCTAATGAGCAAGGGAATGGCCTCATCCATGTTTTCAGGGACATTTTCATCATGGCAGCATTTCTGTACCAGGCCTCCCTGTTCTCTCCAGGACATCGCTGAGAGGAGTGTGTAACAGTGAAACTTGGCCCTGCTCCCATGTGGAAAGTGCTGGGAGCAGGGCCTGGTGGGAGAGGGAGAGGCTAGATTGTCCTTGAGCTCCTGAGTCCTTTGTAGGGCCCAGGGCCTGTAGTTCAAAAGGTGGTCTTGGCTCGGCGCCTGTAGCTCAACCGGCTAAGGCGCCAGCCACGTACACCTAAGGTGGCGGGTTCGAATCCCCAGCCCGGACCCGCCAAACAACAATGACGGCTGCAACCAAAAAATAGCCGGGCGTTGTGGCGGGCGCCTGTAGTCCCAGCTACTTGGGAGGCGGAGGCAGGAGACTCGCTTGAGCCCAGGAGTTGGAGGTTGCTGTGAGCTGTAATGCCACGGCACTCTACACAGGGGGACAGCTTGAGGCTCTGTCTCAAAAAAAAAAAAAAAAAGTGGTCTTGCAGCTCTGGCCTCTGAGAAGAGGGGTCTGGGCAGAACTTTGAAGTTTCCTGGGTCCATTCTCAGCCTTGGTCTGGGCTCTGCTGGGCTAGGGGCCCACAGGAGTAGTGTTTGGTGCTGACCAACAGACTGGCCACCTTCATTTCAGATTGTCACAGCCCTGGCCATTGCAGGAACCCTCAAGTTCAACCCAGAGACCGACTTCCTGACAGGCAAGGATGGCAAGAAGTTCAAGCTGGAGGCTCCAGATGCCGATGAGCTTCCCCACGCGGTGAGTTGAGCTGCAGGCTGGTGCCAAGGCGCTTCCTTCCCACTACTCCTGCCTCTCAGGCTGGCCCTCCTGTGCAGGTAGGGGTGGTGCTATTTGTGAGAACCACCAGCTCTGTCCCCTGGAGGGAGTGGCCTGGGCATAAGAAAGCCTTCTACACAAGCCCATCCATGTGGGACTGAGGGTTTAGCACTGAGCCCATTCCCATCCGCTGTAGGAGTTTGACCCAGGGCAGGACACCTACCAGCAACCTCCCAAGGACGGCAGTGGGCTGCGGGTAGATGTGAGTCCCACGAGCCAGCGCCTGCAGCTCCTGGAGCCTTTTGACAAGTGGGATGGCAAAGATCTGGAGGACCTGCAGATCCTCATCAAGGTCAGCAGCATGGATACCAGGGCGGGGGGCAGCCCCAACCTGCTGGGGTCCCTAACTCCCTGAGCATCAGAAGGGCCATGAGCCCAGGGGGATGTGGGGATGGTCAAGATGAAGGTCGGGTGGGAAAGAAGTGTCTGTGGCTGGAGGGAGGACGTCGCAGCCCGGTTCTCTTCTCTATGGCCCTGGACTGGGCAGAGCTGGATCTGGCCACCTGCTGTCTAGGGCCCTGTGCCTTCCTGCAGTGGCTGCTGAGAACTACCTTCAGCAGGTGTGGGCAGGTACAAGGGCACGCCCTCTGGTGTGTCCACACAGGTTCCAAAAGTCACTGATTCGTCCTGTCCCCACAGGCGGGCATTGGTGGGTATGAGTTGGGTTTGGAAGGCAGTCACCCTGTGGTGTGACTCAGATTGCTCAGGCATTAATTTGTGCTGTTTACTAAGGGGTCTTCAGGCACTCCTGTGACAGACACAGTATTAAGCCCATGTGACAGATGAGACTGATCAGTCGTCAGCCAAAACCCAGGCATGTCCCCAGGTTCCTCTGTGTCCATCAGAAAGCCCAGGCATCTCTCAGGGGGGGCCTAGGCCTTGAGGGTGAGCGAACAAACACACCTGTCCTCCCTGCTCTCCTGGGAGAGGCCTGCCCCATGGGATAGTGTTGAGAGACAGAGCAGCCCAAGGCCCATGCAGGGTAGTGACAGCCTCACCTGAAGCCTTGGGGGCCGGAGGGTGGAAGCAGCAGGACAACAGACCATCTGTCCAAAGCTTTATCTGCTTCTCTTGTCCCTCTCCTGGGTCCCAGACCTTGGGGCCAAGTGCCTGCCTCTGGAGGGCATCCTTTTACCACTTAAGGGCCATGCCTGACCTCTGTCCTCTCTGCTCACTCACCCAAGGTTAAAGGGAAGTGTACCACAGACCATATCTCAGCTGCTGGCCCCTGGCTCAAGTTCCGTGGGCACCTGGACAACATCTCCAACAACCTGCTTATTGGTGCCATCAACATTGAAAACGGCAAGGCCAATTCCATACGCAATGCTGTCACCCAGGAGTTTGGCCCTGTCCCTGACACTGCCCGCTACTACAAGGTGGGTTAGTCAGGGAGTAGTGCTGGGGGTTGCTCTCCTGAAGGCCAGGAGGCAGACACAGGAAGGGTTTGGGGAGTGGGAGCTGCGGAGGAGGCTGACCAAGACCAAGGGGAGCCATCTGCAAGCAAGGTCCTTCAGCCCCTTTCATATGGCTGGGAAGGAGTAAGGCTCAGGTTAGTGGAGCCAGGTCCTTGTACCAGAAGGCCCACATGAGAGGAGCACTCTCAGGAGAAATTAGCCCCCAGACCCAAGAAGATTGAAGGAGACCTTGGAGGAGATGAGCTGGCTCATCACGGGCCACACAAGGCCTCATAATAGGCAGGGGGCCAAAGGCCAGGCCAGGCACCAGGGGATAGGGTAGGGGGACTGCTACTAGAGCCAGGCCCTAGGTTGCTTGACTCTTTTCATCCTAAGAGAACCAGGGCTAGACCCAAGTCCTGGCCCACCAGGGTGAGAGTCCTCTGGCACCCCCTGGTGGATGGTGAGGCAGAGGGTTGCTCCAAGGCAGGGGTGCACTCTGCCCAGCACAGACCACTAGCTCTGCAGAGGAATTCTGTGCCATGTTTCGCCCTGGCTCTGTCCCCACACTGGGGCCCTCAACACATACCTGCCTCCACGTTGATATCCTGAGTATCACCAGGTGGGTCCCACTGCAGACAGGCAGGTGAGGACAATGTCTGATCCATCTCTGTCCCTATGGGTCCTAACTGGTCATTCACCTGACTTCACTGCCTTTGGGGCGCAGCTGAGTCTCCTACCCCTTAACCCTGTGACCTCAGGATGCCCAGGGCTGGGTAGTGGGGAACAGGACCTTTCTCTGCCATATAATCTCACCCTGCTTGCCTGGCAGAAACATGGCATCAGGTGGGTGGTGATTGGAGATGAGAACTACGGTGAGGGCTCAAGCCGGGAGCATGCAGCACTGGAGCCGCGCCACCTTGGGGGTCGGGCCATCATCACCAAGAGCTTTGCCAGGATCCATGGTGAGCTGGAGCCCACACACAGCGCACCTCCCTCCCCTGACTGACAGCCCAAGGTCACTCACCCTCCCAGTGGTGGAGTTGGGCCTGGAACCACATGCCTGGTTCTAGGCTGTGTCCCACCACAGCCCACATGGCCATCAGCCTCCTGTCCTTTTTTGAGTGTACACAGCACTGGACCTGTATCCACACCTGGAGGTCTGAGCAGCTGGAACCCAGGACACGTGTCAGAGGGTTTTTACTGATTGTGAACATGCCTAACAGGAAGGCCTCACAGAGACACGAGGTGCCCCTAGTGAAAGGGAGCCCTTCATTGGGAGTGGAGCAGACCTTAGACTGTGGTCACTGCCCCAGCTTTGTCCTAAGCAGCAGGACTGGGGGTGTCTCCCAGAGCCCCACCTGGATTTAGGAAAGCTCTCCAGGCCGGTATGGCTCCCTGCACAGAGGAGTCAAGAGGGGGCACCCCACCCCCACCCCATTGACAACTGTACCCTCCACCTTCCAGAAACCAACCTAAAGAAGCAGGGCTTGCTACCCCTCACCTTCGCGGACCCAGCCGACTACAATAAAATTCACCCTGTGGACAAGTTGACCATTCAGGGCCTGAAGGACTTTGCTCCTGGCAAGGTCAGGGGGCCAGGGAAGGAGGGTGATCCATGATGGGCAGTGGGGCAGCCACCTTGCTTTCCTTGCTTCTGGACTTGGCCCTACCCACAGCTTTTCCCATGGACTTTTCTTCTACCCCATAGTGGAAGAGAACCACCAGCCTGGGCCCTCCCACCCCATTAGGGCAGGCTTGGCACTCAAAGGTGATAGCCCATCCCCAACAGAGCCTTCTGAGTCCCTATTGGTGCCATTGAGGTCTTAACCTGGTCACCCAGGTCTGAGCCTTGGCTTGCCTACCCTCCTGCAGAGCCGAGGACCATGTTCCTCACAGTACCTGCCACTTGCCATCTCCCTTTCTCCTTGTAGCCTCTGAAATGCATCATCAAACACCCCAATGGAACCCAGGAGACCATCCTCTTGAACCACACCTTCAATGAGACCCAGATCGAGTGGTTCCGTGCTGGCAGTGCCCTGAACAGAATGAAGGAGCTGCAGCAGTGAGGCCCAGGCCGTCCTCCAGCCCAGCTGGTCATGCTCAAGTGCAGCTCCATGTGCCATCAGAGCTGATCCATCCCACCATGGCTTCTTGCTCCAAGATGGTGTAACCAGACATGCTCCCTGCCCTCCACTCCCTCAGCCCTGTCAGTGACCACGGTTGGGGGTGGTTCTTAAAATAATTTTTTAGCCCCTGCTTTCCTGTTTTTAGTTTGGTTAAGAGTCTTGAGCAGCTTCATGCAACTGTATTTTTGATGACAAGACTCCCATCTAAAGGAGATTTTTCTCCTGTCTGATCATTTCACTGGTGGCTGAAGGATTTTAGAGAACCTTATGCTCTTACAAGGAAAATACGAATCCAGACTCAGTGACTGATTCTGAGTGTTTGGTATCTGTGTCATTTATCAACTCCAGGATACAGGGTGGGTTTTTTAAGCCAAGATCTTTGGTGGATAGATGAACTGTGGTGGAAAAGACTTCCCTCTCGCCTCCCACTCCCACATGTGGTAGCCCTGCCCCTTGTTCCCGTAGTTTCCCTGCTAGACCAGGATGGAGCCTTGCAGAGAGGGGGCCTTCACCCTCCTCCCCCAGCAGTGACGCACCAGGCGTAGTCTCATGTAGCCCTAAACACCCTGAGGTGGGCACAGCCTGTCTAGCAGATGAAGCCACCCAGAAAGGGAGTCTGCCCAAGGTCACAGCTAGTACGAGATACCTACCCCTGCAGCATCAGGACGTGGCAGAAAGCAGGCTTTTTCTGGAGCAGCATCAGCAGACACAGCAACATCTCTACTCTGTCCCTGAGAGCTGAAATGGCCAGGCCAGGAGGTCGCATGATCAGGACAACATTGCAAAATGAATGTGGTAGTGCCAGAAAGGGGAGGAAAAGGACAGGAGAGACCGGGCAAAGCCATTCTGCTGACATGGTGCCCAGAGTGTCACCAGCAGGCCTACAGGGTGCTCAAGTCGGTGGCTGAGGTCTGTGGTATGGAATGGGTGGGGGAGATGACACTGTGGTGGTCACACCCTCTGCCTTGGGCCAGCAGAGTCCACGGCCTCTGCTTTCGTGAACAGGAACTGGCTGATTCTGGTGCTGAGCCTCTTCCAAAGCCGATAGGAAGGTGGTTGCTCTTTAATGCTCAGCCACCCCAGGCCAACATCCCCTTCCATGTTACTTTGTGAACCACCAAGCCCAGCCATCCTGTGGGGGTTGGGAGAGGTCATCTCCACAGTGACTTGGGGTAAGGAAGGACGTGGCATGGCAACTAAGTAACATTAGATCATGATGTTGACTACTTACACAAGGGTGGCCCTCCCCTATTGATGCTGACATTGTTTATTAAATGTCTTTGCTGTCTGTCACTGCAAGCCAGAAGTCCCTGGGGACAGTAGGACTTCAGCAGCACCTCCAGGCAGAGAAGGCCAGGACAGTGTGGGGAAAAGCTGGTGGGCACTCCTGGCCACTCTCCCCACCCAGCTCCAGGCAGCACACTCCTCTGCATTGCCTTGGCGGCTGATGTCTTCACAGCTGGCTGCACCACTCCTGGGGATGGGTAGGGTCTGCTGATGGGCAGGTCCACGGTGAGCCCCGGGTCTAGCTGCTGGTCCACCAGGAGAGGAGGCCCAGGCCCGGCTCACTGATAGATCCCTGCCAGGGGAAGATGAAGAACAGTCACATTTCATCAACACTCAGGGCTTCAGCCAACTGGGACAGTAAGTCAGGGCCCCACCCTTCCCACTACCCAGTGAGAGAGGACACGTGACAGCCTCAAGGCTTCAGGGAAGTCTAGGAGCTCCCCACAGCAGACTCTTCTGGGGACAGCAAGGAAAGCACTAGCTTGCTGGCCCCCAGGCCTCTGTAGAACCGGGCACCCTAATTCACCCCTAGGCCCACCCAAACGCAGGTGCCCAGCAGGTCCTCCAAGGCATGCCCTAGGGTCTAATCCCAGGAAGTCCGTGCCACCATGGGGCCCAGCCTCCAAATACATGCAGAGGAACATGTCGGAAAGTCATTCCACCCTGGATCTCTCCCAAGCCCATTCCTTGGAAAGTGGCCTTGTTCAACAAGGGCTCGGTCCTTGCCCTTCCTACCCAACAGTAATGGCAACTCTGTCGCCTCAGAGACCCAACCGTGGAAACAGGCTTTCCAGGGAAGTGATAGCCAAGCTCACATGGCAGGGAGCAGGGCACACGCTGCACAAGGGCTATCCCTCCAGCAGTGGGCTGGCAGCAGGGTCGCTCACCACCAGTGTGTATGGGGCCTCCTTCTTCGGCTGCTCCTCACTGGAAGTGGTAGCCTCGGCCGAGCTGGGTCCCGTGGGGGACGTGTCCACAAAGCTCTCATCCACTACCCGGAAGCGAATCTCCTCACCAGTGTCCATGTATAGGTCATGTGCTCCTTCCTCCGTCTCATATTCCCACACCCACACCTGCTCTGCATCGTCACTGGGTGGCAGGGTCAAGGCAACAGCCAGGCTACCAGCAGAGCCCCGCGCCTCCCACAGCATCACCCCCAACAACCAATCCCAGGTCAGGATCACCTCAGGAAGTCCTAGTCCCACATGCAAGGCCTGGGGCCACCACGAGGAGCAGGAAAAGCGGGGTCCTCTGCCAGGGACACACACATGCCCTCAGAGTCAGAGCAGGAAGAAAGCAAGACAGTGAGCCCTGCCTCTCAAGACAGAAACCCCCACCTCCTGCTGCCTGCCGTACCCCATAGCCCTTTCCAACCAAGCCTCCTGACAGTCTAATGGTCAGATACTCAGGGATTTGCCTGCACCAGGTTTTCCACCCCATTCCAGAGTTACACACAGACCCAGCCAGAGCTGTCAGCTGGACAGCCCCATCGACGCCCCATCTACCCCTACAGAGCCCACGCTGAGGAGCCACATTGCCCTCTGGGGGCGGTCCCACTGCTGGGTCCTCCCTCTGTGCCAGGTCCAGTGCTGGGCATTGAGGGTAGTCATGTCAGGACTCCTCCCAGTGAAGAGTCTCAGATGAGTGACAGCCCCATAGACAGGGACAACCTCGGTGCAGCAAAGTAAGGGCTGGAACTAAAGCAATGGAGGGCCTAGCCCTGTACCCGACATCACAAGGCCTCACATCCCACAAAGGCAGCAGCCAGGGCAACCCTCCCAGGGGAGGCTTTGAGATGACTGTGCAGGGACTACCTAAGAAAAGTGAATCAGGCTGGGCGCAATGGCTCACATCTGTAATCTTAGCACTCTGGGGGCCGAGGCAGGTGGATTGCTTGAGCTCAGGAATTCAAGACCAGACTGAGAAAAAGAGAGAACCCATCTCTACTAAAAATAGAAGCTAGGCGGGGCATGGTGGCTCACACCTGTAATCCTAGCACTCTGGGAGGCCGAGGCAGGTCAATTACCTGAGCTTACAGGTTTGAGACCAGCTTGAGCAAGTGCGAGACCCTGTCTGTAAAAAATAGCTGGGTGTTGTGGATGTCTGTAGTCCCAGCTACTCAGGAGGCTGAGACAAGAGAACTGCTTGAACCCAAGAGTTTGAGGCTGCTGTGAGCTGACATCACTGTACTCTACCAAGGGCAACAAAGTAAAACTCTGTCTCCAAAAAAAAAGAAAATAGAAAAACTAGCTGAGGCTCAGCGCCTGTGGCTCAAGTGGCTAAGGCGCCAGCCACATACACCTAAGGTGGCGGGTTCGAATCTAGCCTGGGCCTGCCAAACAACAATGCCGGCTACAACCAAAAAATAGCCGGGGCTCAGTGCCTGTGGCTCAAGTGGCTATGGCACCAGATACATACACCTAAGGTGGCAGGTTCGAATCCAGCCCGGGCCAACCAAAAACAACAATGATGGCTGCAACCAAAAAATAGCCGGCATTGTGGAGGGCGCCTGTGGTCCCAGCTACTTGGGAGGCTGAGGCAGGAGACTCGCTTGAGCCCAGGAGTTGGAGGTTGCTGTGAGCTGTGAT